TGCGGACACTTGTGCGATCTTCGGCTCGAGAGCCTTCACATGCTTGCATCAGGCCAACCATATGCACAAGTTGGAGGTCTCCCACGGATAACTCCAACGCACACACGAATGCAAGGAAAAACCGCACGCAGCGGAAGTATTGTGCCAGTGTGGAAGGGGTAAAGGCTCTCAGCGATGCCTCGTATGCTGCCTCAGGCGATTGAGAGGTGAGCGCTGTCACGAACGTTGATGAGCATGTCCCAATTTCCGCAAGCAGGTCTTTCCAGTCGCTGATGCACTTGTTCCGTTGGGATTGCTGGGAAGCTGCTTGAGTTCCCAAGGCTGCGCTGTGAAAGCGTGGAGCGAAGGCTCTAAATGGAGCACCATGCGTGTCAGGTCGGGGCGGAGGTCCGGTAGCCTGAGCTGGCTCTGCTGTCACGGGAGTGGCAAGCTTTGAAACTTGTGCAAGGCTGCGGGGTGGAGGTCTCAGTGGCGGTGGCTGCAGAGCGTGGGTCGCCTGTGCATGCCAAGGAAACAGTGCTGTTCGGTGCGGAGCCACAAGGCCAGGCGTGCTCCTTGCGTGGTGTTTGGCGCAGGTCTCTCCTGGCCGAATTTGGTGCTGCAAATGATGCACGCTAACTCTTGCCCCTGTAACCAATGTAGGGGGGGGCTGAGATGAGTGCGGTGCACATGCATCCGCAGCGGGCGTGCTGCTTGTGACTGCATGCAAGAGCGAATGCAGGTTGGCTATGCTATGCGTGGGCACCAGTCTAGGTGCTCGTGCAGGTTTCGGCTTGGCTGTTGGCTGCATCACTGAAGCATCTGCGGATGCGGAGTCATTGTTGATGCAAGTGGCTTCGTCTGTCTCACGGAGTCTCTTGGCCGACCAAGTGGAACCCCGGCATAAACGCGAGGACAGAACAGGGGGCGGTGGCCGAGTATATGGAGAATGAGAAGGCTATGGGGACCGCTGGAAAGTATTGGGCCTGACTCGGTGCATCTGCGGTGCACCGAGTGGTATCGAGGTCCGCACGCGGCGGGTCACAGGTGCAAGGTTTGGTACCTATGTGCACAGAGCTTCGGGAATGCAGTACGGACGAAGCAAGAAAGCAGGCAAGGTTGACAACGCGTGTCCAGCCTGCCTGACGTCAAGGTCAACAACGCGTGTTCGACCTTTTCAAAATGCATCTGCGGTGCACTAATCGGCATTAAGGCCCGCGCGCGGCGAGTTGGAAATGTCAGGCTCGAGTGGCTTGGAGCACTGAGCAAAAGACATGCCGTCAAAGCATCTGCGGTGCAGTGAGTGGCAGGTACAGAGCATGTGTGGGATGCATCTGCGGCGCTCGCGCGAAGAACGCAACATGCAGGGTGCTGGATTGCACGGTGTACTGTTTGGGGCCCGCACGCGGCGAGCACGCAGGCGGTGTTTGGACACCTGGAGCGTGCGATGTGAACAGAAACCGTGTCATGCCTTTGTGCTGCATTAGGGTGACACGCGGTCCACCCTGAGGGAATGCTGCCATGCATGCAACTGCGGTGCAGCATGGCATAGCTAAGGCTCGTGCGGGAGAGCGAAGGAAACAATGCAGCAAAGAAGCGCGAGGCTGGCAGGTTCACACTGGTGCACACGAAAGAGGGATGCCAAAAAAGAGGGATTTGCGTCAAAGCATACTGCTGTCGGCGATGCAGGCACTGCCACCTTAGTACGTGGATGCAAAGGCAAGGTGCATGCTGGCAACGATGCGAATGCAAGTGGGCCATCAAACTCAGGCATGTGGAGTGCCTGTGTCCTGCAAGGTTCGAACGTTGTGATCCTTTTGCAAATGCGGAGCTCAAAGCTTGGGCAAGCTATAATGCACAGTGTCTGGACAGGCCCGACCAGGTGCGGATGCGAAGCATGCTTGAATAAGGGGGCGCACGGGTTCTGTGGGCATGCCCACAAGGAGGACGAGGCGTGCGTTAGCCGGCTCGTCTAGGGCGGCTGGTGCGCATGGCGTCCTGTTGAGCAAGTCTGGGATGGCGGCCACGCCGTGGATGTACCACCTTAAGTCTGCATGTACCCACCACTCGGTAGCCTGCAGAGAAACACGCTCACCGGCCGTGAGAAAGGGCCAGAGAGCTTCGGCGGCTGCAGGCGTCAAGAAGTAAGTGCTCCCCCAGGCCGGTGGGTAATGCATTGCGACGGCACATAATGCATGCAGGTTGTGCTCGCCCAGGCACATGCAAACGAGGTCATGCACAAAGTGAATGCAAAATGCAAACGATGCAGTTGCAGGGTTCCATGGCTGGTGCGCAAAAAAGAGATAGACCCTCAAGGCATGACCCTTAAGAAGCTTGAACCAGAAAAACGGCAACGCGTCCGAAGATTCAATCAAGATTAAAACATAGGGGAAAAGGAAAACCCCAAACGACACAGCCTGGAAGAAGGAAAGTGCATGTTGCGGGTGCCTATCCATTGCTTGAACCGCTCCGCTAAGGACATCCGAGACAGCACGGCTGGATGTCTTGCTGGGGCTTCTTTGTCGTGTCAATTGCTGATTGTTGAAGTCATGACCGCAGAAGCTTTGGCTTCGTTTGACGTCTGACGGATTCGAAAAGCACAAGTACAGCAAGAAAATATCACCTCCTTTCTAGGCATCATCAGTACATGAAACCCTTTAAAACTGTAACCTTGCGCGTCCCTTGGGCCGCACTTGCGCGCTCCTTGCGCGCGCACAGCTTTTGACAACTTTTACTTCTCCCGTTCAGCGATAATTAAAACCGAAGACTGGGGCTTTAGGACGGCCCTCACATACGCTGCACATGCTGCAATGCGAGGAAAACCTTTCACTTGACGCTCGCTAAGAATGACTTCAATGCTGCCCAAGATACGGGCAAATGCTGCAACTTTGGAAAGGGAGTGACAAATCATACTCCGACCCAGGTTTCTTGAAGATCTTGCTTGCGACTCTTCACTGCGTTTGTTGCGCTGGGTGAGTGGCAGGGAATGGCTGGGATTCCGCACGCGAATCTTGATTTCCTAAAAAGTTCAACGTCGTGTGCATGTTGCGATAGATCGATTTCATCCTCAGTGCAAGAAGTCAAGGTACCGATCGGGCATTCGGGCTTTGTGTTAGCCGCCACGTGTTCAGGGCGCATGCAAGCGTTTCCGCTCGTGCAAGAGTGTCTTCGCAGTTTCGCCTCACGCCCTGCCAGTGCTGGTCACTGAAGCTCTCATACAACACGCTCTCCTTGTCGACTTCCCTCTGGCCTGCAGAAAGCGGAACGCACTTTAGAGTGCACGGATCTATCAGTGAATCAGATTTTTCGGGAAGTGCTCATATCGCAGCAAATGCTACAAGGTTTGTGTATAAATGTTTTCTCGATTTGGCTATCAGGCAGGGCTGCATCCTTCCGTAGCGATCCATAAATTGCGGCAGGCCTACGCACGTTTACAAACACGGAGCGCTCCGATATGGAGGGCCTGCAAATTCTGGAGGGTGCCTTTTTCGCCATTGGCAACGAGACACATCTTTTTCCGCTGCTTCGCGAAAGAAAATGGAAAGCAAATGTGTTGACCACAAAACTGCCGTTTCGCAAAAAGGCCTTCCGGGGAAAGGTTGCAGTTTGGACGGGACAATCATTGCCGGCTCGATTTGGCAAGTGACGGCCTGAAATTCTCAACTTGCAAAGTGCTGTTGCGGAACAAAAGCAGTCTCAATGGGGAAGCTGCAGGTATGGCCGGTATGGCGTGCGGAGCACACAAAGTCATGTCTCATAGACTTAACATACGCAATGCGTGACAGGGTCATTGAGAGGAGTTGCGCGCACAAGGGGCCAGGCGACAAATCACCAGGCTCCTCGTGAACATCTGCCCAAGGCAAACAAAAGATAGAACAAATTCCAATGCAGTCAACAACAAAGGCCACACCAGGCCACAGGCCGCACTAGGTAGAGTCACTAGACTCGGCCTAAGGAGATGCGGCCTCCATTTAATTCGATTTGTCGTTGCCTGGCGTAGCTCTGCTGTGCGCACCAGGTCCTTCTGCAGCTGGGCAAGTGATGCCAACCTGACATGTCAAACCGAATCCGCTCACGACAAACTTCAACCATTCTCCCTTTCTCTCTGTTTTCTTTGTTCTTCATGTCTTCCTTCTCTTTTTGTTGGCTTCTCTTTTGTGCTCTCTTGGTCTATTCTCTCTATCGTTTTCCTTCATTCTCTGCTTGTCTTGTTCTTTTTCCGGCCTGGCGGGCTCCGCGTGAGCTGCAGCCACGCGCTCCAAGCGCCGCAGATCAGCCAGCCGCGCCCGCAGCTGCGCCACCGCTTCGGTCCGGGCCTGCAAAAAGCAGGAAGTGCCAAAAAAGAAGCAAACACAAGAAAGAAAGAAGAACGCTAATTGAAAAAGCAATGAAAACGGAAAATGCAGCGGGTGCGCATTTCTGTTGTGCCGGAATGGCTATGGAATGCCCGTGTACGAAATGTTCATCTGCAGCCAGATCCTCGCCAACAAAAATTGCAGGCTCAAGCCCTTTCGCAGTCCATGCAGGATCTGTAGTTCGCAAGGCTTTTGTCTGCCTTGCCCATCATGTCGTCGGTCTCGCTTTCGCTGCTCCTTACTGCGTCTGACAGCACCAATGCCACGCTTTGCCACGTCACTATGTTGACGCTGCCATGCTCTTCTTCTGCTCCTCAAAAGTCCTGCTGGTGTCCAGCTGCTTCATTCCAGCTTGGTGAACTTGTTCGTCCCGATGTCTGGCAGGTTCTCAGAGGTGTGCACCTCAAAGGCTGTCTGAACCCACGGGCTCTTCACCTGCAAGCGTCTGAGCCTGCACTCCACAAGCCGCGCTGCTATCCATTCAGACCGCGCTTGCGCAGGGCTGCCCATGAACTCCATCTGCTTATAAAACAGTGTTTTACAGCACGCAGCCCGCCACGAACTCGGCTTCTCCGCAGCTCAGACAGTTTCGGCTATAGCCAGCCAGGCATCCACCCCCGGTCTGATGGGCATCTTGAGGTCCTGGGTCAGCTCCATCCTTTTCCGTCATTCAGGCTCCGTGCGCATGCCACCCTTCGTGTGATAGCAGATCTTCCTGAGGTTGGTGAGCTCTTCGCCCGTCTTGTGGATGTGCTCTCCGGGCAGCTCCACCAACACTTCTGGCCCCGAGCCACGGATGTCGCCCATGCGCACCTCCAAACAGATATTCTTGCTCGTAAGCCTAAAAAACCATGGTGCAATCTTGCTTCTTGCGAGGCAATCTTTTTTGAGAATGCCGGCCAAGATCTCCACCCAGTTGGCTGCGGCTACTCTACTTTCACACCAATTTGTTGGTGCCAAGACTTCTCCTTCTTCTCCTCCATCCACTGACCTGGCGTCCTTGACAGGGCCTGCCAAGGTTGGTCGCATCCGGGCCCCAGAGGCAATCATTATCTTGTCTTGACTTCACTGCTAGGCACCCCAGGCGCGGTCCAGGACTCGCTCTCACCCACCACCTCGTAGGCGTTGAGCTCAATCTTCTTAGCGCTTGGATCTCCTCTTCAGTGATGATCACCATCTGCAGCCTCTCAGCGCTCATCATCTGAGTTGTAGGCATCGTCCTCATCCAGCTCAGGAGCTTGGTCTTCAACTGGAAGCCTTCTTGGAGCAACTCGTGCGTGCCACCTTTCCAAGGTCCTGCTGTTGATCGTCAGCACCAGCGCGGCTTTGCGCGTGGCAGCGAGGTCTTTCGGAGCCGGCTCCACTACCATGCAGTGGGTGCGCGTTTCTCTTTTGCCGAACAGGCTGTCGAATGCCCATGCGCGAAATGTTCGCCTGGAGTTGCAGAAAACCAAAATGAAGCAAATGAAGCATGAAAATCATAGAAGAGGAAACGGAGAATGGACAAGCAAATAGATATTAAAGCAACTCCCCAGAGCACAAATCCGGAAAAGGAATGCCTCACACTCCTCCATGCGCTCCTGTGACAACTTGCAGACTCAATGTAGTGGCTGGTGGCTTGTTCAGTGGATCTTCTGGCTCATTCTGCTTGCAGCGCGCGTTCAACATCTAAAGGGAGCGCAAGCAAACTGGCCATTGCTGCGAGCCAGCCTTGCTCACACACACACATGCACAACCACGATGACACCCACACACACACACAGACGCAGAAACAAACGAAACACCTTCTTGGTCCAATCAGCTTTTCCTGCGCCGTTCGGTGGCAAGTGCTTGCAGAGGTTTTCTGCAACCTGACGCCTCTTGGCAAAAAAATCCAGTGAGACATTGCGCGCACGCTCAGGCCTTGTAGGAGGGCTCTCTGTTTTCAACCTCCTTCCCCACAAATCCGCCCACCTTGGGAGGTGCCTGACCAACTGGCTTGTTATACTTCTGCGCGGCGTTCTTCAGCGCCGCCCCAAAGTAGACAATGGCAAAGCCACAGCTTGCCCAAGCCAGGGGGTCAATGCCGTAGAACACGTCAAAGTACTCCTTGCCTAGGCTACGCGACGTAAGGAGCCACTTTGGTCTGATTGGTGTCACAAGCCACTCCAAACCACTTCAGGCCTCTTCAGGCCGCTTCCCCCTTTGCACAAAGATACTCAACAGGGAAAGAAACACGAACCAGAAACCGGCACCCGTATTAACCCCAGCCCGGTCCCTGTTTTGATGATGGGCATTAATACTTGAGCCAAATGCGCATTGGCATTCGACATGTCTTGGAACATGCAGTCAACGGGGCCTCTAACATCACACGCATGCACACCTTTGTACCTCTTTGAGGGTCAAGGGGTCGTGATTGTTCAACTCCCCCCTCCCCGTGCTCACTAAGAGACTTGTGCTTTACAGTCGCGCTTGAGCTGCGACCCATGTGATGCAAGGTCCTTTACCAGACCAGTAAGAGGGCTTACCTAAGATTTCTGCACTTTTCCCACTGCTTGGTCAGCTCAGGCCGGACATCCTTCAACTTTTCGGGCAAATTTGTTCTGACGCCCAAAAGCTTGAGAGCGTGGTCCCACTTCAAGGGTGTAGTGCTTTTGTGAAGATGTCGGCTGCCTGGAGATCGGTTGCTACGTACTTGATGACTACACCTGCGCCAGGTTCAAGTTGCTCTGCAAGTGCGGACAAGTTCACTTTATGAGTGCGCTGTGTGTGCCGCATTTTTGGGGAGTAACCTTTCTTAGCAACCAGGATAGTGGCTTGGTTATCTTCGTGTAGCACCAGTTCAACCGGGCGTCCAAGCAAACGTTCCCACAGAGTCAAGGAGGGGAGACCCTCTTGATACAAAGAGAACGTGAGTGAAACAACCTCAGCTTCGGTGGTGGAACTCGACACTGATGTCTGTCGTTTGCTCAACCACACTAACGGGAAATGGGTGTTCGGTCCTTTGAGCCACCGGATGTGGAATTCGCATCCCTTTCTCCCGCATAGTCGGCAAGAGCGAGGTGAAGATCTTGCGGATTCTCCTTCATGACTCCTACTAACCGGTAGTGCGTCGTCCAGTGGATGTACGCAATAAGACGGGCGAGTTGCCTATCGTGGTTGCGAGACCACCCATGGGCTTGATGATATCAGGACGCGCTAGTCGTCCCAGCCAGAAGGCCTTCATGAGGAGTTTGCACGCGTTTGGGGCTCTCACCAGCTGACTGATCATCTTCAGGAGGAAGTGATCCGTCTGGGCAGAATGGAGTAGTTACCTTCCGGAGCTTCTCGGGTTGAGTGCCGGTTGTAGAACAAGACAGTTCTACAGTTTGACGGGCATAGTCGTTCATGTCAAACCCTTTAATGCGCTTACAGCGCTCTGCGGGGCCATCTATGAAGACATGATTACGCCCAAGCACCCGAAAGATCGGCTCGGGAGTCCTACATTTATCATGTTTGTAAGCTTTGCCCAAAAGGCTTCGTGTGCATCTGCGGGACCTGAGAGGGTCAAGTCATCGACGTAAGTCGAGAGCATAAGGCCTACCCCTTGAAAGAAAAAGTTTCCAGAAAACTCTGGAATTTCTTCCCCTCCCAGCTGCTTGAGCAGTTTCTTAAGGTGTGCCTCCCACAGACCTCCTGCGTCGGGGTGACCGGGCACGGATCAACAAGACCACGGGTTTTACAAGCTTGAAATCCCACTCCTTTGGCCGCAGCTCAGGCGGGAGTTCGATCCACGTCTGGAATTGCGAGCTAAGCAACGCCTGGACGTAGGCCTTTACCGCGTGGTGACGGTGTGTCCTGGGATGCACCCATACGCCAGGCAGGCGTTTAAGCCTTGTACTGAGGTGGGGTTGGCCCCCAGTTCCTGGTACACAGCGGGTGCACCGGCTTCATCTTTTGCACAGTCTCCCCTGAACACGATGCGCCCCTTTACTTTTTGGAGGTGCTTTGCAAGCTCATAGAACTTGATGAGCTGGCCAAAGTGCACCTTGATCCCAGACTGTCGCGCTTGAGCTGCGACCTCAGCGCGTTCTTAGCGATGTTGCAAATCTTGCAGAAGGGGTTCTTGGGGAAGTGAGTCCGTTGGTGTTCCGTGAACTGGCTTTGGCCCGAAGCCGGGGTTCATCACGAAGCTCACCACCTTCTGCAAAATCGACAAGCCTGCGCCCGTCATCAGGATGTTCGGGCACCGCTGGTGCGGGTGCAGGAGGTGCTCCAGCAGGTGGTGGTGCTGGCGGCGGATCCGGGGGCTTGGCCCCTTTCCTCCGGAGCTGGCATGGCTGGCTTTTCGTTGCGCATAAAGCTAGCAACCTTAATCTCCTGGACCATCTCATCAATGAGCGCGCTACGCTGCGCCTTTTCTTCTTCTGGCAGGTGATGGAAAATCCTGGCATGGATCGATGATGAAGGACTCATCGTCGGACAAGGGCATGCTCAACTTTCACAGGGAGAACCAACGACATTGATTGGCCGAAGATTCGCGGCTTGATGAACGATCTGTTGTTTGACTACCTCATCGTACTGTGGCACGTACGCAACAACCCTGGAGGCGTTGATCCTGGAAAGGCGAGGAACCCGAAGCTTGCAGTTACCAATCTCAGAAGGAGGCTCAAGATAAGGAACGTTCTCGATGTCGGTTTTGCCAAACGTAAACCTGCTCATCAGGTGGAATCACACGGGAGTCCTCAAACGCAAGAGATTTATCTCGTTGTTGTGCTCCTCCGCCTGTGGCAAAGCCTACCGGTGTGTTGGTCTTGCGTACGCAATGCATCATGGTGCTGTTCAGAGCCTGCTTACCGATGAGCTGGCGACCTGCAGCTCTAGCTGATGCTATTGTTCCTGGCGGGGACACTTGGGACTGCTGGGACGGCAACAGCGCCGGAGACTTCGCCTTGCTGAGGGCCCGTGGAGGCGGCCCAGTGTACTTCTCAGTTGGTGAGTGGAGGAAGGCGCAGGACTTGGCCCTACATACACGGAACTTTTGTCTTTTCAACGGCTGACATCTTTGCTGTCTTGGACAAAGCCTTCGACCTCGGCGTGAGATTAGAAGGGGTAGTGTCTCCCTTGCTTGCACTTTGGGACTTCGAAGGAGGAGGAGGCTTAGGGTTAAAAGGGCTTTTACCTTTCGGCGCAGGAGCAGCTGGGGTGCCGCCTTTATCCTGCCCTTGATCCCCTTTCTTCTCACCATTATTGTTCTTCTTCTCCTTCTTGGTCTCTGCTGGCAAAGCGCTGGTAGCTGCTTCCTTGCCCGTGCCACGAACAGCCGGTTTGAGCTTAACATCTTGGTCAAACTCATCACGGTTGCGCTTTGTTGGGCAAGCTCAAAGGCCGTCTGCCTTCGCCCAAAGCCATGCACAGGTGCGGCGGTGACTATCATGGGCGGACTCACGGGCCTTCTCAACGCGATGCTTCATGACGGCACTTCTCAAACTTCCTTACAAAGCTCATCAAGAGGTATCGCACGGATAATTTTTGTTGTACTTCTCCCGGAAAGCCTCGATGTCTGCTACTGACTGGCCGGCAAGTTTCAACCCTAGAAGACTGCGTTCTCCAAGGATGCCGATCCGGCCGCGCTTCAATTGAAAGTGCTTGAAGATCGATCGAAACATCACGCGCCCATTGGGCATTGTACCTGCGGTGTTCCGTTCGTGCTCCACCATGTTTTGGAACAACAACCCAAACTTGCCTTTGCGACAGTGAAAAGGAAGAAGCAAAGGCCAAAAAGGCCGCAAGTGAGGAGGCCGCCAAACCAAGTAAGGGTGCAGATGAGGCAGCTGCTATACGCACTGCAAAGGCGTCTTCCCTAGAACCCCAGAGGCCCCAGAGATCGAGGAACCTGAGGAGGGAGACCCCGATATCGTCCGTGCCTTGCTTGGAGAGCCCGCCTCTTCTCGGCCCAGTGTTCCGCATGCCGACAACCAAGAAGGATGAATGGGTTATTAAGCCTAGTGGTAACGTGTTAATCCGCGTGCATCATCAGCCTAGGACGAAACTCTTCACTCGCAAGGATGTCGGTGATTGTCCTGCGTCAGTGTGCAGAATCACACCCGGTAGGACCACTCGCGTTGTGTCCCAGCAAGATGGTAGCAAGGAAGATTTCAGTGATGGTTGGGCAGGCAGATTTTCAGCACAGCGGGAACTCCCTGTACTCTGGACTGGCATTATATATAGTGATTCCGAGCATTCGGCTGCAGCTTTAAGCGCAGCAGGGCTCAGTCCTCACGAGGGTAACATCCCTGTCAGCTCAGGAGCAGCCGTCACCGTGTCAACCGCATCCAGTATAACACTTGCTGAGACCACGAAAGAGAAGCCATCCGTTTTCGGTAGCCCTTGCCAGCTGGAGGGGGGCGATGAACGCCCTCCGTTTACCGTTGGCAACAGTGTGCTTGCAAGCGCCGAGCGCGTGATGCTGTTAGCCCGATGCTTGAATTTGCTTGTTCACCTAATTCCTCAATGGGTAATGTGTTCAAGGATCTCAACATCCCACATGTCCGATTAGCAAAGGAGTACATTGACTTAGAGTCAGCCGTTGTGGATGAGCAGCTCGCGCATCAACTCTCGCAGTGTGTCCGACCCAACTTGTGGGCAGCCATTCCATGTGTCTCAGGATCACCTTGGCAAAGGCTGAACCTCCATAGGATAGGAAAGCCGCTCAAGAAACAGTTCGTGGAAAAAGTCAAGCAATCCAAGTTGATGTTCTCAAAAGTTGCAACGCACGCAGAGCATGTTTTGAAGGCTGGTGGATCAGTCACTTTCGAGTGGCCGCATGACTGCGAAGGTTGGCAGAGGCCAGATGTAGCCGAATTTTTCGGACGCCACAAGGATGTGTTCCACGTTTCATGGCTGTGCTGTTGGTTTGACGGATGAAAATGGTTCACCCATCAAGAAGCCTTGGCACATCAAAACTACATCAAAGGCTCTTGCCGAAGCATTCGCTGATCGCCAGTGTCCGCGCTCAAAGTCCGAAAAACACACTCCAGCGGCAGGGGGCCGAACCTCCCGCACTGCATTCTACCCTGAACAGATGTGTGGTTTGATTGCCAAAGCGTTGTGTCCCAATGTTTGTAGGACTCCGGTTCATGCAATGCCTGTTGTTCCAGCCAATCAGCAGACGGAGCATCGTGTTAAGGAGTAATCCCTAAAGCACGAATCTCCTCTTTCCGGAGCAGATGACTTCACCCTCCTCGTTGAATCAGACTCAAAAACAAAAGAGATTGTTGAGGAACTCCTTGACGTCCAAGGTCTACTTGCCACTGCTGTCGGCATGCCCGCCAAGGCTGTCGAGACCGAAGCGCATGCAATGGTCACTAAACTCCTGTCCCGTGCTGGGATGCTTGCATCTCCTGAAGACCGGACTTCAAGACATCGGAGTATGGGATAGTTCAACTGTCCGGGAGAAGCGGAGTGACGAAAGGCGATGAAGGCATAGGCGGAATAAAATCCACCATGTCATCAGGGATGTGTTTTCCGGCGCAAGTGTTGCATAGTCGCACGCAAGGAATCTCAGGCATTTCATTGGCCTCAGAGCCAACGAACTCGCTCCACACTGTCTCATAAAAATGGATGAAGCTGGAGAGTTGCAGGGAGCGGTCGAGGAAGTAGGGATGATGCCGGAACCTCGTTGCCGAATCGCTGGCCACACAACTCCGAGCTCGAGCGAGATGTCCGAGAGGAGAAAGAGTGTTGCGGGAGCATACACCATCAATCAGGTTTGCCCTTCTCCCTGCACACGCATTCCTATCCCTTTGCATGCCTCTCGATGTTCGATCCGACAAAGACGCAATGGGAAGCACTCACCAAGGAGAAGCTCGATGGCGTCCGCTGTTGCTTCGGACAACTCGCTTGGTATCGCCTGAAGTCAGCTGGAAAGAGAACCTTAGAACCTTAGAACCTAACATGGCTCCAGGCTTGTTTATGGGTTGGCGTATCGATCCAGGGATGCGATATTGGAGGGTGCTAAAAGTTCTGGACTACCAAAGTTTCAGGACCAATGGAAATATTACTGTCCATGATGTGCCCGAACCTGAGTTGTTCGTCGAGGAAGGCGATCCTGTTTTCCCGATCGCGGCCGCTGCCGATCGAGCCCTGCGAACAGGCGACGGCGAGGTTCCTGAGTATGCAATCAGGGATGTTCCTTGGTTCCTGAAGGCATTCCTGCCCCCGTCAACTCCGTCAGGTTTTAAGTCACGAAGTGTGTACATCACCATTGAACGGATTATAAAGTTCAAGGAGACTCCTGGATGCAAGGCCTGCACCGGCCATGCTAGTTCTAGGCATCACACTGACGAATGCCGCAAAAGGTTTGCAGAGGTCTTGAACAGCTTGGCGGCTATCTCACGGGTTGTGCGTGGGAAACGCTTATCTGCCCTGAGTCGTTCCTCGGATGAGGTCAGGCAATCCTGAGCCCACAAATAGAGCTCGTCATCGGTCGTCTTTTGCAAACGTCCAATGGTCATGAGGACCTGATTCACATACCCACGCGCCTGGACCGGCGTTCTCTGGCGGAAGCGGAAGCACTAAATCCTTAAGGTCCTTGATGCGAACCACGGTTTCCTCATATGAGGCCGGATCTGCTGCGCTCGTAGCAGCGTCCCCACCACTTGCATGTGCTGCTTGAGTACCTTGTCGACTCAGCATGAAGGGGTATGACCCTCGTCACCGGATTCTGAGTATGTGTTGGAGCTTGCCTCCGAAGGTGCGAGTGGGGAGGATGGGAATTGAGCCACCTGACTTGTACTTGCACTTGTTAGCCTAAGCGTGGGAACAGCAGTTGTGTGCTGTGCAGCTACGGAAGGTGGGGGTGCCTGAGCCGATGCGATCGGGGGCGAAGCCCCTGATACCCCTACCTGGGCCACAACTAACATTGAGAGTTAATGGACCAGCTCAGTTAAAGAGGACATTTGTGCCTGTACGTCTACAGGTCCCCTTACATCCTGAGTCCGAACGACATCCGGTGGTCCTTGTGGCTGTGCACGTGGCATTAGCTGAACAAGCTGCGCAGCATTCGCAACAGGAAGCCCAAGGCCATGTTCAACCGGTGAGGCAGGAAGCTCAAGGCCATGTCCATCTGTTAAGACAGGAAGCCGTAGGCCATGTTGAACGTGCTAGGCATGAAGCACAACAAGCAAGGTCGGCTGCAGAAGCCGAAGTGTCCAGGTTGAGGCAAGAGGCTATTCAAGAAATTTCCTCACGGGAACAGAAGATCCTCCAGCAAAGTAAAGTGATAGATACATTAGGTAGTGAGAATCTTTTGTTGTCGCAACGCCTTGCTGACCTAGAAAGGGCTGTCGCATCCATGGCACAAAATTTTCCGGCACCTCCGGATGAAAGTCATGAAAGTCAAAATCCTACGGATCCCGGGTTATCGGGGCAAAATGTCGTTGGACGTGACCTCCAGGTTGGATCACAGGCTTTGCAAGTTCAAGGGCCTAGTGATGCCACACGTGAGCAGCGCCCCCGAAGGATGCAGCTCTAGGCGCATCGGGAAGTTCAAGTAGTGACCCTAAGGTAGCGCCTGCTTGCTAGGCTTGGTGTGTCAGTTCCGTTGCCTGCTGTCTAAAGGTCTGCTCCCTTTGTTGCGCGACAGCTGCAACCTCCCCTAGCCTTTGTCGGGCCTCGTCCGCGGCTCGATGCTCGTGAAGGGCAACGTTGGCAGCCTGATCAGCAATGAGCGAAGCTTGATGCGCACGTTGCAATGCCGATCCGGCCAAAAGCGGCAGCACTCATGTCCCTACATGGGTCGGGAGCAGGCACCTGTGGGCTACACACAAGGGGGGTTGCTGTAGAGTCTGAATCAGCTTCCTCCACAATGGGAGCTTTACGGGGAGGAGTCGCGTTGCGGTCGCGGCTACGAACATCTCTTGATGAGGATGCCCTGGAACCTACGGGAACTACGGACATTGCGGGTACAGCATCACCGAGTTCAGGGTCTTCCTCATTCAAGGGTTGACCTTGACCTATCATCCGAGGGTGGGGAAATCCCTGACACCATGTCGGATGCACCTTTCACAGGAGGTCAGGCTCACGTATGCTGACACACCGCGCTTTAAGCTGCGGCCGTTTGGAACTTGTAGTACAACCGGTGTTGGAAACCGGTGCACGTATGCGCTTGAGCTGCAGCCTCCGGCGCAACCAAATCAACAAAAAAAGTCCGTGGCCGCCCCTTGCGGAATGGGGGCGGCGGCCCGCGGCGGCCAACTTCCTCGGATTACTCTGATTGGTCGAGCACTCTGGCAGGATGGAGCAGGCGTCGATGCTGGTTGAGGTATTCGTGGAGCTCGTCCAGCGCGTCGTAGAGCGCCCGATTGGCGTCTCGTCGCCCGACACCAATGCCCAGGGCGCCTGCGGTGCGACACTCCTTGGGGACCCGATGACACACGCTCCCAGCTGCGCTAAAGCTGCAGCCTTGCCCACCAAGTCAGGACAACATCTCCAAACGGGCGAGTGCCTAAGCTGTCAATGGCGTTGTTGCACGTTGGAAAATTGCCGGCAAAACGGAGTGTGTTCTCCCAAGTGTCTCGGGACTGGCAGTAGCTGACGATGCGGAACTCGATGGGGTAGTGGCTGCGATAGATCTTGGAAAGTACCTTGATCAGCCACTCCTTCGGGAGCCCGTAGCCTCGACAGAAATGTCGAGGGTGTTGTGCCAATCCAGGCAAACCACGATGGGTTGCCTTGCCTCTTGCTGAGGCGCACCCGTCGCCGGAGGCGGAGCCTTTTGCTGCAGTTGGTGGCTGCTTGACCGGCATTTGTGGTACCGGGGCAGCTTTGTACCTCGCCTGTGGTGGTGGCGAGGGTGGGGCCCGCTTGTAGTTCGACTTAGGCGGCGTCTCAGGCCGTTTCGATCGATTTTGGAACCGACGCTGCGCGTTGAGCTGCAGCCCTGGCACTGGTGCTGGAGGTGCAGGTGGTGCCCTCAACGACAATGGCCTTCGACGCAGCGGTACGCTTTGGGGGGGGCGCCTTGACCCTGGCTCTCTCGCTTGGCCTGGACACAGTTGTGGTTGAGGATGGACTTGATGGGGTGCTTGGTTGCTGTTGCTGAGCTGGTGCGGGAGCCTGCCCTGCCGCGCCTTGAGCTGCGGCCGGTGCCCTTTGCAAGAGTGGGGTGGGTTGGTGTCGGCCTCGGGCATGACAGCGTCGTAGACGCCGGGGCACATGTCCCGCAAATGCCGATAGCTCTGATCAATGAAATCGGCGTGCCACGCCAGGAGGGAGCTCCGGTGCAAGTCCGAAGCTTCCTCCCAGGGGGCTTTTGCTACCCCAATGAACTGCTGCCAGGCCCACGTGGGCGCGTCGAAAGCCTCGTAGTAAAGCCTTTGACGGTGAACCGCCCGCCCCTTTGTCCTCAAGGCCGGAGCCGGGTCCATGCACGAAGTGCGCTGACTTACCGGACTGAGGGGGCCTAATCCCAAAAAGCAGGTATTGCTCATAAAACACTCAACAGGGAAAGAAACACAGCAAACCAGAAACCGGGACCTTTATTAACCCCAGCCCGGTCCCTGTTTTGATGATGGGCATTAATACTTGAGCCAAATGCGCATTGGCATTCGGCATGTCTTGGAACATGCAGTCAACGGGGCCTCTAACATCACATGCATGCACACCTTCTAGGGTACCTCTTTGGGGGTCACCAACTAAGATCACCCTGCAGCGGGCAAACATGCAACTTGCACCCCAGCTCCGACTTTAGGCCCTGTCATCCTAGGCGCCCTTGTAGACGAAGGCCTCTGCATGCTGGGGCATGCTGGCAGCCACGACTGCCCCAGCAGCTGCCACTGCCTGTAGCCAAGCAGCCACGCGCACGATGCCAGCCATTCCCCGTTAAACCAAGCCAGGTAACAAGGCAAAGGAGCAAGCCGATTTCGCAGCAACACATGCAACCCGTCCCGCAAAATGCTTGTTCACTTGTTGAAGCTGTCGACAAATTTCGGCCGCTTGCATCAAAATGCTGCCCGGGGCACGGCATCGCTTCGCACCGGCTCCCGGCCAGGGATAAACGCCCAGCTACTGCGCAGAAGGCAGCAAGCCACTGCTGCCAGCATGCACACCGCCAGCACAGCACGAGCCATTGTAATGACCTGGGCCTAGACCTTCCGCAATGCCTCTCTGTGCAGGCGCACAGGCAAAGAAAAAACCTTTGAGCCCACCTTGAAAGAATGGTGGGACTGTCCAACCTGAAGTGCGCAGAAGCACAGAAGCAGTGAACCGGGCCCTGCGCATGGCAAGCTCAGGCGGTCTAAAGAAGGGCGCACACATGCACAACCACGATGACACCCACACACACAGACGCAGAAACAAACGAAACACCTTCTTGGTCCAATCAGCTTTTCCTGCGCCGTTCGGTGGAAAGTGCTTGCAGAGGTTTTCTGCAACCTGACGCCTCTTGGCAAAAAAATCCAGTGAGACATTGCGCGCGCGCTCAGGCCTTGTAGGGGGGCTCTCTGTTTTCAACCTCCTTCCCCACAAATCCGCCCACCTTGGGAGGTGCCTGACCAACTGGCTTGTTATACTTCTGCGCGGCGTTCTTCAGCGCCGCCCCAAAGTAGACAATGGCAAAGCCACAGCTTGCCCAAGCCAGGGGGTCAATGCCGTAGAACACGTCAAAGTACTCCTTGCCTAGGATACGCGACGTAATGAGCCACTTTGGTCTGATTGGTGTCACAAGCCACTCCAAGCCACTCCAAACCACTTCAGGCCTCTTCAGGCCGCTTCCCCCCTTTTCACAACATCAACCCACACTGGGCAAACATGCAACTTGCCCTATCGTAGGCGCCCTTGTAGACGAAGGCCTCTGCATGCTGGGGCATGCTCGCAGCCACGGCTGCCCCAGCAGCTGCCACTACCTCGCCAAGCAGCCACACGCACGATCCCAGCCATCCCCCGCCAAACCAAGCCAGCTAACAGGGCAAAGGGATTTTAGTTGGATAGCCAGCTCCATAGCCACACACGCAACGCGCGATGCGCATTTGCCGTGGGTCCGCAGTTCACTTGCTGAACATTATGTAGAGGCCGCTGCGGAGCTGCTTGTTTTCATGAGCAAAAGCATAACATAATCAAACCTGTACACGACGGAATGCGTATTGAGTTGAATATTTCAACACTGCTCCTTGCTGGGGGGCGCCCTCCACATCGTGTCCTTCCTTGGACTCCGGGCGCTGGCTTTGTCAGCACATGAGACCTGCTCGTTTACCTGCAATACGTTCTATCTTTGAATGGTTCATGCCACGCGCTCTTGCAACCATACGTAGCGCGTTTGGATGCGGCGACCGTGCCTTTGGCCGCGGTTGCATCTGACTGTTCAATTCCGAAGTCTTGAAGTTGCGCTTGAAGTCCTAGACCTACGGCGCCGCCCTTCACTAAAGCGTAGTACTCACTGTCGCCAGAGTTGGCTGGACGTTGCTTAAGTGACTCCTGGCCACCATAGAGGGCAACCATGCCTGTTTTGCTTCGCCTAGCGGCAGATCTTTGCAGGGTTGGCAAACAGGCGGCAAAGATGATGACGTCCGGTTGTCCTCAAGCAGAACACCATCATCCTTCTTACTCTCCTCATCTCGAGACCTGTGTTGCTGACCCAGGCGTCTTCCGGCAACACAAGGCCGACACTAAGTCCTGTACTGGACATGGCCTGTGGCTCATGTTCGCCCACCTCCATGCACTCTCCCCTTCCTCCTCAGGAACACCGTTGGCCCTCGAGCGCCCCCATCTCTACTTGGCGGGCAGGCATCATCTGCTTTTACACCTCTGTGGACTGCCGATCAAACCCAAGGCTTGTTCCTTTCCTTCTCAATGAGCTTCAAGACCTTGCCAGAAACCTTGCAGATTCCCGCATCTAGTACCACAGGGACAGAGCTGTCTGGACCGCGGACCTTGTCGAGAAGAAAGGGGTTCTTGGAAGACTCCGCAAAAGTGATCTTCGAAGGGTTCCTCGAAGCTGCGGCGCAAACTCAACAAGTATCAAAACTTTTGCAGCGCCTGTAGAAGTTCCGAATCTATTTCTGCAACTCACAAATCACTTTATCGAAATTCCTCGGGGCGGGAAATCCAGACCCACGCCCCTTCCCAAAACCTTCTCACAAACACTTGCATGCTGAAACCATGCCCAGTGGTCCGGTAATGTCCTGCTTTCCGGCTCCCTTGAACTCATCAACAGGACCTCAGATCCTTCCTTGACGGGGTGCTTGAATGGGGCTGCGCCGGTGTCCACATCCACGGACTGGAGGTCATCTCCACCCAAATCCAATTTCCAGTGAGTTGCCATTGTGCTTGTGGTGCTTGCCAGTTCCTCTTGATAAGCTGGATTTTCCTCCTATCGCTGTTTCCACGACCAAGTCGACTTCGGCCTTCATGAAGTCAACCGCCCCTGTTTTGGATGAAGCGCCCTTCTACATCCATTAAAACAAGGAATTCCAGGCAGGTAGCTTGTTTTTTGTCATCTGACAGCTTTTTCGGCCTCGTTCTTGCGATTCTCATGTCTCCGAACTTGCTCCCGTTTTCTTCACCCTTTCGGGGTTAAGGATGGCTTTGAGGATGTTACGCTTTGCGACGAGCTGTGAAAGGGACTTTTGCCTCCTGTGGGTCAGATTTCGCTTTGGCCTGGGGGACGCGCCCTGGATCCGGGTGTTGCAAGTGTTGCTGCGCGTCGTTCAGCTCCGTGTTACATTTCAATCGCCCTTGAGGAAGCGGTACTCTGCACCAAAAAGCCACGCTTTCTTTTGCCTTTACCTTTGGCCTGGATCTCCTCCTCCTCTTCGGCTGCAGCGGCTGCTGCTTTTGCTGGCGCAGCTGCAACGTGCACCAAGTGTCGCTATCCGACCCGGCCACGACGCCCTCGGTCTCAGCCACCAACCTTCGGCTAATCTTCTTCCTCAATACCCAAGTAGTCTCTCCCTGACAGCAGCTCTGGCTCTGCCGCGCGGCCTCAGCTGCTAGCAATCTTAGCTTGAGGCTCCACCTCTGGCAGGTCGCTGGCTCGGTCTCCTCGCCTGCGCTGGCCTCTCCGACTCCCACCGGTTGGGCCGTTGGGCCTCGGCCCTTGCCAGGCGGGGCCCATCGGCCCTTTCCAAAGAACCAGACCGATCTCTTCACCTGGATTCGATCGGCTCCCCGCATGAAAGCTTACGTAGGCCGCTGCGCAGCGCCTGGTCTTCTTGAGTAAACATAACATAGTCGAAACTGTACATGGCTGAACGCGTATTGGGCTACAGATGTCAACTCTTGCCCAAGCCGCCTAAAAAATTCGTCCGATTGGGCATCAACATGCTGTTCGAGGCACGGCATCACTTCGCACCGGCTCCCGGCTGGGGATAAATGCCCAGCTACTGTGCAGAACGCAGCAAGCCACTGCTGCCAGCATGCACACCGCCAGCACAGCACGAGCCATTGTAATGACCTGGGCCTAGACCTTCCGCAATGCCTCTCTGTGCAGGCGCACAGGCAAAGAAAAAACCTTTGAGCCCACCTTGAAAGAATGGTGGGACTGTCCAACCTGAAGTGCGCAGAAGCACAGAAGCAGTGAACCGGGCCCTGCGCATGGCAAGCTCAGGCGGTCTAAAGAAGGGCGCACACATGCACAACCACGATGACACCCACACACACAGACGCAGAAACAAACGAAACACCTTCTTGGTCCAATCAGCTTTTCCTGCGCCGTTCGGTGGCAAGTGCTTGCAGAGGTTTTCTGCAACCTGACGCCTCTTGGCAAAAAAATCCAGTGAGACATTGCGCGCGCGCTCAGGCCTTGTAGGAGGGCTCTCTGTTTTCAACCTCCTTCCCCACAAATCCGCCCACCTTGGGAGGTGCCTGACCAACTGGCTTGTTATACTTCTGCGCGGCGTTCTTCAGCGCCGCCCCAAAGTAGACAATGGCAAAGCCACAGCTTGCCCAAGCCAGGGGGTCAATGCCGTAGAACACGTCAAAGTACTCCTTGCCTAGGATACGCGACGTAATGAGCCACTTTGGTCTGATTGGTGTCACAAGCCACTCCAAGCCACTCCAAACCACTTCAGGCCTCTTCAGGCCGCTTCCCCCCTTTTCACAACATCAACCCACACTGGGCAAACATGCAACTTGCCCTATCGTAGGCGCCCTTGTAGACGAAGGCCTCTGCATGCTGGGGCATGCTCGCAGCCACGACTGCCCCAGCAGCTGCCACAGCCTGTAGCCAAGCAGCCACATGGAAGATCCCATCCCCGCTAAACTCAGCCAGCTAACAAGGCAAAGGCTATTTAGTTTGGCTTAGCCGGCTCCACAGCCACACGTGCAGTAAAAAACAACCAGAACGCTGCCCAGTCCGCGCAATGCTCATTTGCCGTGGGGTGCGCGGTTGACTTGTTAAAGCTGTCGGTCGACAAATATTCGACCGCTTGCGCATGAAAATGCTGCCCGGGGCACGGCATCACTTCGCACCGGCTCCCGGCTGGGGATAAATGCCCAGCTACTGTGCAGAACGCAGCAAGCCACTGCTGCCAGCATGCACACCGCCAGCACAGCACGAGCCATTGTAATGACCTGGGCCTAGACCTTCCGCAATGCCTCTCTGCGCAGGCGCACAGGCAAAGAAAAAACCTTTGATCCCACCTTGAAAGAATGGTGGGACTGTCCAACCTGAAGTGCGCAGAAGCACAGAAGCAGTGAACCGGGCCCTGCGCATGGCAAGCTCAGGCGGTCTAAGGAAGGGCGCACACATGCACAACCACGATGACACCCACACACACAGACGCAGAAACAAACGAAACACCTTCTTGGTCCAATCAGCTTTTCCTGCGCCGTTCGGTGGCAAGTGCTTGCAGAGGTTTTCTGCAACCTGACGCCTCTTGGCAAAAAATCCAGTGAGACATTGCGCGCGCGCTCAGGCCTTGTAGGAGGGCTCTCTGTTTTCAACCTCCTTCCCCACAAATCCGCCCACCTTGGGAGGTGCCTGACCAACTGGCTTGTTATACTTCTGCGCGGCGTTCTTCAGCGCCGCCCCAAAGTAGACAATGGCAAAGCCACAGCTTGCCCAAGCCAGGGGGTCAATGCCGTAGAACACGTCAAAGTACTCCTTGCCTAGGATACGCGACGTAATGAGCCACTTTGGTCTGATTGGTGTCACAAGCCACTCCAAGCCACTCCAAACCACTTCAGGCCGCTTCAGGCCGCTTCCCCCCTTTTCACAACATCAACCCACACTGGGCAAACATGCAACTTGCCCTATCGTAGGTGCCCTTGTAGACGAAGGCCTCTGCACGCTGGGGCATGCTCGCAGCCACGGCTGCCCCAGCAGCTGCCACAGCCTGTAGCCAAGCAGCCACATGGAAGATCCCATCCCCGCTAAACTCAGCCAGCTAACAAGGCAAAGGCTATTTAGTTTGGCTTAGCCGGCTCCACAGCCACACGTGCAGTAAAAAACAACCAGAACGCTGCCCAGTCCGCACAATGCTCATTTGCCGTGGGGTGCGCGGTTGAATTGTTAAAGCTGTCGGTCGACAAATTTTCGACCGCTTGCGCATGAAAATGCTGCCCGAGGCACGGCATCACTTCGCACCGGCTCCCGGCCGGGGATAAATGCCCAGCTACTGCGCAGAACGCAGCAAGCCACTGCTGCCAGCATGCACACCGCCAGCACAGCACGAGCCATTGTAATGACCTGGGCCTAGACCTTCCAGCGCAATGCCTCTCTGCGCAGGCGCGCGGCCAAAGAAAAAAACCTTTGAGCCCAACATGTGCAGTGTGTCATAACATGCCCATGGGTCATGAATAAGACCAGGGTGGGTGCCATGAGCTGTCATGAAAACTATGCGGGCGGATTTTCCAGGCAGCTGAACATGCCAAAGCTGAGGCACATGTGCAAAAGCCTCAGGAATGCCTGCGTGGCAACCTCATCGGCGCACAGGACCCATGCCACGCATGACGTGCAGGTGCACAGGCGCACCGAAGGCTCGAGGATCGCGCTTTGGGTCAAGGAAGCATATTCCTGGAGGTGCGCTAGCTGCACGGTGGAGGCCTGGCCAAAAGTCAGGCTTAAGTTGCGCAAATTGAACTTCATTCGACGGAAGCAAATCGAAAGCTTTGAGCTCAACAAGGGTCGAGCAATCTCAAAGCATTGCCTGGTGAGCCTATGTCAGGCAAAGAATCAGTCGCAACAACGCATTTGCGAATGCAAAATGCCCAAGCTGGGTGTTTCAAAACACTCCCGCGTCTTGGCAAAAGGAACTCTCCCTCTTGGGAGAATTGCCTACCACATGTGCTGGCCGTAGGTTGAGAGCGCGCTGTGTTTGATGCGGAACATATCACGTTAGCTTGGGGGTTGATCTGGCTAGGACGGGGTGTCAAGAACTAGGGTTGGTCTCAATGTGTTGGGTGCAAAAGTCGGTTGTCTGGATGAGTGGGCTTGGGGCTTAGGGAGAGCTTAGATTTTACTGCCTTGGGGTCTCAATGTCATGCGCGAGGCGTCAAGACCTGCGTACCTTCCCGCACGAACAGAATGAGATGGGACACATTGTGAATGAAACGCGGGATGGGGAGCTCGGCGAGATGCAGCTCAGCGCGATCCAGTTCAGACTTCGGACTTCGGAACTCGGGCTCCAACTTGTGCACCACGTAAGTTCCGCTGGCAACGTCTCTTGCAACCGCGTCTTTCGCACGCCTCCGTCCGCGGCATTCGCATTGAGGGGCGCAATGATTTCCGAGGCGTGCCGCTGCATCGGCGCCTCGGACCGGTTCAAATGCGAAAGCAAACAAGAGGAGAAAGAAGGCAGAAAGAACTTGGAAAGACAACGGAAAGATACATGCAACAACTGGGGGAAAAAAAGAAACAACAAATGAAAAAGAAGAGGGTAAAAGAATGGCAGGGAAGTCTGCCAATTTGTTCCTTCTGAAGAGCGGAGGGAGGCGTCGTGGGTGCGGAGGGTGAAGTCCACAGCGGTGTGGCACCAGCAACATTGGCGGGATGTGGCAAAACCAGCATTCTCAAGACTGATCTCGCACACATTCGTTGCAATAGATCTGATCAACACCTCATCTGTGGGACCATTGTCTGAGAAGCATGCTAAGGCGCTAACTGCGTCCTCCTGCGATGACAAATCAAGCCTACGAGGATGGACTTCTGGCGCATTGTTATCAGCGCGCTGCCACCAACTCAGTAAACTTGCTGGTATTGAGCTCAGGGCACATATGTGCAGGTCAGCGCTTCGCAAGGACAACGACGGCAGAGTAGAAAAAGGAGAGGCAGGCAGCTGAGGAGACACAATGAAGAAAAGCAAAGGAGAGAAAGAAAGCGCAGAAGCCGAAAACAAGCAAATCTAAAAACAACACAACATCCCAAGCCCGAAGCAAATAATCGGGAGCGCCGGGTTTTCCTTTCTCTGGGGCTCCCAGCTGCAAACGCCAAGCCTTCATAGCCTCAGCCAAGCAAGCGCCCGCGCAACTCGCAACAAACAAATAGGAATGTCCGACATGAATTTGAACCCGCCAGCCGTCGGTTCGGAGCTCTCTAGGGCTTGGACGCCTTAGGGCAAGTTCATTGTAGCTGGCATAAGGGTTGGTTCCGCCTGGTCCACCAGTCGTTGGCTGCAGGACACTTCACGCTCCCACACGCTGCGCGGAACAAGTTGTTCTTGAAACCATCGGGGGCGAACAGTTGGGCAGGAGGGAGCGCCCGAGATGAACTACCGCGGAAGTGCTCTCCCCTCCGAGCGCCAAAGGCGGTAGGCATCTCCGTGGGCAAATTACCCGCGTTCAAGGACCGGCGATCGTTTTGCGGGTGTCGCATGACAAAAGCGATTGGTCACCCATAGGCTGTTAAAGGGGAGGGATCCGGGGGCACGAATCTAAAAACATCTTCTGTAACACCGTAACAGTAGGCGCTGAAAACCCTCAGCAAGGCTCAAAGCACTGTTTGTGGCTGAGGCTAAAAACTGAGCAACGTTTTGTGCTCAGCTCACCCGTGGTTTCAAGCAACATTCTTGCTCAAACGAACTCAATACGTCTTACTATGGCTTCCTAGCCTTGACAAAGGCTGAGAATGGCCAAGCCACATGTTTTCAACTTTCTCCGCTGGTTTGACTCTTTTTGCTGTTTGCCCGATCAACGTTCCTTGACTTCAATGCAGTTCTTGAAGGCGCGATGCTTGGCCTCCATGGGCTCACATCCGCCTTTCTCTCCATGCCTTTTTGTGGTGCTGTTGTGTTTCACTTGGCTCGCCCCAAAGCCGTGCAAGCAGTCCCTGGCTGAAATCTGATCCCTGCTAATTGTTGGTTGGATTTTGTTGCAGATCGCCAGCTTTCCCTTTCCTGACGTGTTCACATTCTTCTGGAGGTTTGGAATCTCGGCACCGCCTTTGATTACCGCCCTGTAGAAATCTTCTCCCTTTTTCGGACCAACGCCAACGCAATCAAACACTTCGGCAGTATCGCTGTTCACAGTCGTACGGCCTACAACATCTTTCCATTTGGGACCCCCTGTAGCGTTCGTACACGATTGCTTTCTCGTCTCTCCGGCTCCATCTGTGGTAACCCGGCTCGAGTCCAGCGGGCGTTGAAATTTCCCCCCTTGCGCACCACCTTAGTACGTTCCGGGGTCTTCTTGTCATCGATACCAAATTTCCTTGACTTCTTTCGATCGATCCTTGTCACCCCCTCCACCGTGTGGGTCATCCCCGTCGGGATCGTCGTCACCTCCGTTTCCAGCGTCATCGTCGTCCCCAAAGACGTCTTGCAATGCCTCTCGGGTCTCCTTTTCCCAGGAAGCCTCGATCAACGCCTCAAGGTCTCCATTCACCCTCTCAACGGTGCTGTTTAGTGGGAAGGCGAGTGGGTATCACAACATTATGCACTATGTGGGGCCTACGTAGGCTGATCGGCACGCATTTGTGCCAATGGTCAATTCGGCGTCAAGGAACTTGCCAAGTTCCCATACCAACATTTTTCCACTCCATCTCATTCCGCTTTCGAGTTCATAACCCGCGCACACACTTCTCATTTGATCTGGGTGCGACGTATACTCTTGCCACCGAAATGATCTGCATGCATGTTGTACCAAGCGCTCTCACCATCAACGATTTCAACGTTCAGCAAATGACATGTCGAACTCAGAGCAAAAGACCAGTAACACGGAGGCAAACAAGTGCTGATCTGATCGATTAAGTAAAGATTGTTCCTTTCAGCCAAGGAAAAGCTCATGGGTCTGCCAGAAAGCGCATGACTGAACGTGATCCCCAGCTGCTGACAAGCACTGACAAACTGAGGTGCGTAATCTCCGTATGCAACCCGAATCTTTCGCATCCCCATGAAAGCCTTCATGCGTCTGACAACCTCAGCCTCGGAACCATCCGAAGTAACTCCAGAGTATATGTCTCGTACCACGTCTCCTTGGTGTCCGTCTCTTTTCCCGGTTGCCCTGCTCTCTCTGGCGTTAGGAAATCGAACGTCACAAGGTCCCCCCATTTCTTGAGCTGCTGCTTGAACGCACCCTTCTTGGTCTTGAAGTGTCGCATCTTCGCTCTGACGCACACATCGCAATAAGGGTTAGCAAACCTATAGGTAACCATGTGTTGCAACGTATCCGCTTCGTGTTTGAGAGTTCCCTTCTTTCTCTTCCCACCCTTCCAGCTTTGACATCAACTTCAACCTCATCTTCATCACTACCTCCGCCCTCGTCCCTTTCATCGGCATCACCTCCCTCTTCCTCACCGGGTTCCTCGACTGGTGCTGCAACTGGCATCTCGTCCGGCGATGAAGTCAACCCTCCAAACAAATCTTCCGCGCGTTTTTCGGGGTAATCCAAGATCCCGAGAGCAGATTCCGTGAGTTTCACCAACGGTTCGTACTCCGTCTCATCATTGGTTACCAGGTAAGGAATGTGATCCTTGACACGAAGGCGTATCACAGATTTCCGATCATCAAACATGATAGGTTCTTCCCCGGGCATCCGCCGAAAACCATAACCACTTTCAGCACATCTCTTTCCGATAGACAAGACTGATGGTGATTCCTCCATTACGAATGGCGACACCGTATCTTTGATCTCATCGATAACCAGATCAACTTTCTGATCGCCTTCCGTCACCCCATGCGCCGTCATGAAGGTCATTGCCTCTGAAGTCATCCTTGGACTGAGGCCTAGCTTGTCCGCCACTTTTAGTACCATGGCAATGTAATCATCGGACAGGGGTACTTTGATAGACGCCTGCGAATCACCAACGTGGTTCTCCCGAGCAAGTTCTCCAAAGCTCGGTTCTCCCACAGTTCTCCAGCTTTCGCAGCTCTAAAAGCGGCGATTATGCGTTCTTGATGTTGATCCTCCTTGGCATGCTCGGCTCTCACACCTTTCTTTCCGTGATCGTCCCTGCGACACCTCGCGGTAAACTCTTGGTCGCTCGCATCACCATCATCATGCTCAACCCAATCCTGGAACACCACGCTCTTCACCCTCTTTCTCCCTTTCTTAGGGAAATACAGCTTTGCGTTCGGGGTTGCGGGCGCGCATTCGGCCTCAGCGTCGCTATCCACGATGTCTTCCTCGCTACAAGTCGACTCCGCTTCGCTCCCACAGCGACCCCGTGGATATCACCGGCGCTGCCTTCGCCTTCTTCTTCTTTTTCTTCTTCTCGGATCCCGCTTCACTTTCATCGTCGGAATCCTTCTCTGCCGGTGCTTGAGTTCTGCGGATGCTTGAACTTACAGTCCTTACCGGGCCCTTCTATCATGTCCCCTTCTTCCAGAAGGAGCAAACGCCGTCGTTCTTGAAACGTTCCCCTGCGGTGAGTTGCCGCGTTTGGGACCTTCCTCCAACTTCTTCTTCCATTCGGGTGTGCAAGTACTCTTCTGATGACCGCACTTGCAATCGGAGCAGTTCGTGCACTTCCCACGAAATAAATGAAACTGACATGAAATGTTTTTCGTTCCACCGGGTGACCGGGGGACGGTAGTCTGGACTTATAAATATATATATATATATAAGGTGGCCTCCCCCGAGGCTTAGCCTTCTCCTTAGGCTTCTTCTTGTCGGGAAGGACTGGAGCCGAATCCTGGGCGTCCTTCGCTTCCGACTTCGCCTTCGGTTTAGGCTTCGCCTTTTCTTTGGGAGAGGGAAGTGCATTCCCCAATCTATGATCCTTGAGCGACTTCTCCTTGCTTTCCCAGTTCTTTTCCTCCTTGGTGGCTTTCACCCGAAGTATTTATGCGTCTTCGCGGGATCACTGCGTTCCATGTGATCATACTAATTTCAGATCCAGCTCCAACTCCTTCGGGTTCCCTGCAACTTTCGGCGCAGCGTGTCACTCAACCCCTCCTACTGCGGAACAGGCTCTGGCTTGATTGCAGAGATGATGTCGAGCCACCGTCGCTTGAAGTCCCCCATCTTCTTGTCACCCGGGTACCACCCCGAATACAAGACCAAGTCTGCCGTGCGTCCGGAAACTCTCCAACACCATGAATATCATTTGTCTCCCTTTGATGCCCCTTCCTACTTTGATCAGCTTGGCGATCAGCTGCTGAACCTCGAGCGCAACTTCACTTGCCTGATCTCCAGCGAGCAGATGTGATCACCTTATCCATGCTTATCACCAACTTGCTGTCAACACCAGCAAATCTCGAACCGCCGCTGCCAGAACGTTCGAGAACAGCTTCCCTTCCCACATGTCCAGTTGATCGATCTTTGGCAGCGAAGGCACGCTGATCGTTTCCGCCTCCTTTCTCGAAATCTTAGTCTTGGTAACCGCTTCGGAAGAGGTAGTAGGCTTGACGGGAGATGTGGAGCCCTTGGGCGATCCACTCATTGACCTCGGTACTCTTCCTGTAGGTGGGTCACATCCCCAAACTTGGGCTCCTGTAATTCATTCAACTGCACCCTCACCTCGCTGGTGACTTGAAGCTTCATAGCTTCAGCCTGCTGATCGGCCAGCCTCTCGGCAGATCGGAACCATTCCTCCCTCGATTCGCTTCCGGACAAGTGTTGTATCTGACCCCTCTAGGTTTGGATCTGTCCATCTTTGTTGGTGACTATGTTGTTGCGGAACTGCTTGCATCGCCGACTCTTCTTGCGTCATCGTCTCTCGAAGATGTTCGTTCTCATGGCTGAACCTGGTCCGAAAATCGGTAGCAGTGTTAATCATGGACTGATACTCATTGGTGGCTTCGATCGCTTTCCGTAACAAAGCTGAGATCTCACTGCTCTCCGTTCGCAACTGTTGAGTCTCGCTGTAGAGGATGAGAGATGAAGGCTGAGTGAGTGAGCTTGAGTGAGCTTGAAGCTGAGTGAGCTTGAAGCAATGGCCTCCCATGAACATGCGCAGCTTGGGATTCCAGGGTATGATTCATTCTATCGAGCCCCAGGATCCTTTGCAGGCTTCCCGCCTCATCGGATTCCAGGCTCTTCACAAATGATCGGAACGATGCGCATTCCTCCTTCAATGCATTGTTCTCACCATGCTGCTCAGCAGCTTCGCTCATCTGTACTTCCGCTTTCCGTTGCGCTTTCCGTAAATCATCATTCAGTTGTTGATCCGCACTTCTGGGGTCACTTGGAGAACCCCTTGGGGAGGATTGTTTTTATTTACGGATTCGTGTCCACCCACCATCTTCTTCTGACGGTACTCTCGACAGCGATGAAGCCCTTGCTCTGATGGTCTGATCAACAGCATCACTCTGCTGGCTTGCTGCCGCAGGCCCAGCACTTACCACAATAGTGTCTCCGCTCCCATGACCGGCTAATTCCGGTGTTCCTTGAGATGAAATTCTGGAAGAAGGTGCCGCGAATGCAATCGAAGATCTCCCATCGGACATTGTCACGTAAGCGTCGCGCCACTTGGCAATATATCGATTGATTCAATATGAAGCTGGGCGCAAGACCTCTCGCTTCGAATCTTTTGTCTCACAGCACGTGGGGCAAACCCTACGACTGATAACCTGAGAAACCGAGGGGCTTCTTTGGCATCCCCGACAACAGTGGTTGTTTTATCCTCCAGAAAACCTGCAATGATCCAAATATCCTCAGAACCGCAAGCCTCCCGCGAGCTTGATTTATTTTGCAATACCTCACAATGACGATTGTGAGTCGATTCATTGGACTTGAGCCAGATGGCAGTGCATGTGTGTGCAATTCCTAAAAACCGCACTCATGGTCCACATGTTATTCACACTTTGTGTGTTTGTATTTTTGTGTTTGTATGTTTTTGTCTCTCTTTGGCTTTCTCTTTCTCTCACTATTGTTCCTTTCTTTGTTTGTTTTGCCTCTATCTCTCTGTTGTTTTTGTCTTTGTCCGTCTGTCTGTCTTTGTGCCTTTGCTTCTTCTGATTATCTTGTTTGTTTTCTCTGTCTTTTCTTCTGACTCTCTTTTTGCATCTTTGTGTTTATTTTTTGTCTTTGCTTCTTTTTTCTGGTTTTCCATCTTTCTCTTTATCTTGTTTTCTCTCTCTCTCTCCCCCTTTCTTTTTTGCATTGTTTACCAAATTTACTTATTAATTTGTCTGGTTTTGTGCGTGTTGTTGTTAATTGTCTGATTTTTGTCTTTGGTTATAGTTTGCAAATTTTGCTTGTTTCGTCTATTTTAGATTGCTTTTTTTTTGGCGCTTGTGGTTTTCTTTGCTTATTTTTGTCAAAAATCATCGCGCCAGAGTTTCCAAGCAATTTGGCCCTGAACGATAGTCGCGCTGGTCGGACCTTGATATAGATTTCTCTCTGCATGATCCCCTAAATTATCCAAATATGTGAGGTATTGCCATGGTGTTTGTCTTTGATCGGCCGTCGCGCAGGTCTGGCTTGAAGTAGGCTTGTTTGGGGCGGCTTTGCTGGATATGGTTTTTGTTTTGGTTTTTGCTTTACGAGTCGTGCTGACGGCACCGGGGCTTCGAGGAAAATAGAAATGCCAAATTGTGCCCGACTATAAGCCTCATAATGATATGGAAGCCCTTAAAAATTCAACGAAATTTGTTGGTTTTTTGATGAATTTCTGTTGGGGGGGGGTTGTGCTGATTTGTGGAGCATCTAAGAAGAACCACGTTCGCTTGAGGTGTCCCTTTCCTGACGTAGTATCTGCGTCCGTTTTTCCGTTGTTTCTGCGCAGGTCTCGTGCCGATTCGTCGGCGCCCCGAAATTAGTTTCTCTTCGGTGCCCTGCGTGTTTTAGGATTTTTGTCGCTGATCAACATTTGTTCCACAAATTTCTTTTTGTTGTAAGCCAAGCCCCGGCATACACTGTGTCGTCGCATGTCGTATTTCTTCTGTTTAAGGTCCGCTTTCTTTATGTCGGCCTATGGAACGTTATTGGAAAATAACTGGTTCTCTCTAGTAATTCAGATGTCCTTTCCACAAGTCAGGACAGCGGATAATCCTTTCTGTTGTTTCTTGTTGGCTTTCTCGAAGTTTGGCTTATTCACGCTTTTCCAAAGAGATGCAACAAACCTCGGGAAAACCAAAAAACAGAAAACAAGTCTCCCCCCCCGCCCACAGTCTGGACAGCTGGCATGGTCTTGGTTCGTTGGTGTTGTTTGATTTTGGGTGGCTTTCTCGAAGTTTTCACAAATTTTCAATCAAATGCAAAAACACAACTTTGCTTCCTGAAAGAATCAATAGAATCACAAACATGTGCTCGCTCAGGGTGACTTGTGCTGTTGGGAAACTGGTCAAATTCCCCCGAGAAACCAACCAAAATCCCCAACCCAATCCCTTAAAACCGGTCCAACTCCGGTCTTATTGAGCTCCGCACATGCCAGAACCAACGTGGGGCGTTCCCTTATTGGCTCGTGAAACGACACAAGTACATCAAAACAAGATTCAATAGGTCCGGGTACGGAAAACTTTGTTCTTGCTTTCTTGCCGCTCTGCATTTTTTGTGGTTCCATGACACATAGCATGCACACCATGTATCGCGCAAAATGTCGTTCTTTTGTATGTATGGTAAGTTCTTCATTTGCTTTCTGTCAGTCTTGAAATCTGGGGTTCTGGCCATTTCTTTTTTTTGCAATCTTGGATCTGGGCTTGGCCGGCCGCTGATAAGTTGTTCATAAGGGGCAATGTAAAATTGCCATCCGCGCTCGAAATGTAGAGATCTGCTCATTTGTTGCTTTGCCGAGCACTCTAAAGCAATATCTCGCCCGTCTTTGACATTGCTGCCTGCTTCTTCAACTTCCCGGATCTGGGCTTGGCTGGCCGCTGATACATCAATTTCTTCGTGTGGAGCAAGATAAAAAAGCAACTGGGCTTGAAAACCAACAACCCCCTCTAAAAATCAAGGTTAGTTAGAAACCGGCCAAAACCAATCAAATTCCCCGCGGGAAGCCAATCCTCCAAGAACCGAACGCGCGAACATTCACCGTCTATCACGCATGTAGGTGCCGACTCACTCACTCAAACAAACACCACACCTCAAGGCAAACCACAACACAGTACCTCAATGCCAGCCAAGACCATACTGGCCGAGGCGGGCAACGCGAAACGGAATCCGCGCAAACGTTTTTGATGCCCCCAATGGTTGGCTGTGAAGACGCCTTTGGACGGGGACTTCCCCAGCACCTTGAAAAAATACGTTACAGCTCACGCCGCACCTTCGCAAGCGTCTACTTAAAGTCTTACAGGCCTGTCCATGCTCGGGACTTGAGAAGCAATGGCCAGCATTGACCTTCACGTTCGTGGTGGACGGACTCATACATGCCTGAGGGCTCGAAAGGATGGCAAGCCAGCACGCACACACGTCCTGCACTTGTTCATCTGCAAGGAGTGCCTGTCGCTGCTTGTGGGCTGCGTCTCTGTGGCGAACTGTAATCACTTGGCAGCTACGAATACCGCGCATACCACCGGCGGGGCTGGGTAATACGTATATTTTGCCGTATGGCACAGAACTTCTGCGCAGGGAGGTGTGTTTTTCTCTGGCTGAAACATTCACATTCCTATCGTGTCTACAGTGTACGGGCTAGATCAGCTAAGCCGAGAAGCGAACCCAGCACAAAGCGCTCTTCTGAATGTCGCCAAGCAAAAGAAGATCGGCCTGTAACAACTCAAATACCGCATTGCAACGTTGTAAAAAACATGCATATGTTCTGCCACGCCATGCCCGGCCGAAGAGATGGACCCGTGGCCGCGCTCCAGCAGGCCTTGCGCAACTTTGACTCCGTAAGCCAAACACGAGAAATGCGAAATGGCCCTAGGTCTCTGACTTTCAAATCGATCGCCTTTGCTGCCGGCTGCCTCATAAGCAAATGAACGTAAGAAAACGTCGATTGAAATTCAAGCTGTGGCTGAGTTTGCCGCCAAGTGCGCCTGTCCAAAATGCAGCCGTGCGAAAAATGCAAAGCAGATGGCCTGGCCTGCGGCTCCTCACCCGCCATGCTTGTCACAACCTGAGCGACGACCATTGACACCGATCGATACAACACGCCCAGCCGTGGCAGAGCCAACAAAAATCATTGTTGAGAAGCGTTGCGCATTGCGTGTTGCACACCGCCGGGACCGAGGTCTGAGACTCAGCGTCTCTAGGCCTGCTGCCATGCCCAGCATGACAAGAGCAAGGCCGACGCTGAAAAAAACCTGAGCGGCACAGAGCAGGCCCTTCGCCATTCTGCGTCACTCCATGCCCAAACCACAGTGCCACGTTTGCTGTTTTCATTTCCAGGAATGTTGGCTAGTTGGCTTCATCTCGTTGTGTGTCTTCTGTCTTGCCAAATTGCCTTTTGGTGCTTCTCGAGGCTGCTGAACTCATCAAAGAAAGTGCCGCAGACGACAACCTGCGCAGCGAACCGTCCACCCACCTTCCTGGATCCCCTTGACTTGGGTCTGCTTCAATGCCAGCTACGCACGAGCGTTAAAGAAGCCAAGCGGGGCGCAAGCCTGGAGCAAGTCTCAGCCAAGTATTGGATAGGGCCCAATCGCCACGCAACTCTGCGTGTAAGAGGCAAAGCAACAAACAGCTTCCCTTCTCTGCGTTCTCTATTTCCGTTCCGCCTGCATCAAGGCGCCGCTTCCCAAGAAGAGCGGCAAACTCTGCAAAGCCTGCGGGAGAGCAATCCAACATGGATATGATATTTCTCATAGGCAGATATACAGCACTGCGCCTGCCACGCAATCTGGACCTGACCTCCCGTCCGTTCAAATTTGCGACACACCTGTGCGAAAAGTGCTTTGCGAAGCTGCAAAAGTGTTGCGCTTGCCACGCGTTCGGCACCTCAGCTTTCCGAGGGTTTGCGCCTGTCGCGCAAAACTGGCGTCGCAAGAAACGACCCCGCACCGTGGCCAGGGGCGGGGCCCGCGCGCGATCTGCGCCCGTTGTTCGCCAAGTGTTGCGACCGACTTTCAGCCCACAGGAGACACGAAAAACCGCAGAAGATCGGATTGCCCAGGCATGCTTGACCATTTAATTCTATGCAGCGGTACCTAGATCCTGGGACTAAGATCCAAGCTTCTGAAGGCAACCTTGGATGCAGAAGCGATGCTTTCAAACTCTACATGCCGGCATTTGAAGGCCTAGCTTGAAAGGGCCCAACAAACCATTGGTCACTAACCCTGCGCTTTGTGTCGTCGCGCTTGCTGCTGCATTTTCTGTGCTTTGAGCGCTTTACTTGCTACTGGCGTTGATCGTGGTGTTGTAGGAGTCGGTGTAGGCAGCGCTGACCCTGGCGCTCTCCGTGGAACTGCGCGCCCCCAGTCCAAAAAATGCTGGTTGAATTTGTGAGGTGCCAGATCCCGTTGTAGAACCTGGCCTGGATTGTACGCTGCGCTCGCTGCGCTGTCTCACCAAACTCTTAAAGTCTCTGCGGGTTGCATCGCGTCGAGCAGTCCAAGGCATGATGTGGAGTTCCATTGGGCCGTCACTGTTGTAGCTCTGCCAATCTGTGCTTGGAGTGTCCTGATCAATATTGCGTGCGTGTCGCTCTTACACATTCACCGGGGAAGCGCTGTAGTTGCGCGACTGCATAGCTGAAGATCCTTGAGAAGAGTCCTGTTCGTCAGCTACATGCCCACGATCACCCAGGTTGGATGTCAATTGCTGTAAGGATTGGATGCGCTTTGCTGCCATAGAAGCATCTTTTGTAGCCGGATTCGGGCTGTGTGATTAGACAGCTGGGGCGTGGCGGGTTCAATTCCGCGCCGCGCCGAAAGCCGCGCACGTTGATCCCCCGCGCCGTGGCTCTAGGAGAGATATCGGTTCGCGCGTCAATACGCGGACGCGCCGATACACCCTTTTCCGGGGTGGATATTGGTGCCGGCATGTATCACAGATGGATTGGTGAGAGTATGGGTGTCCCAAAAAAATGGTACTGATATCCCTTCCCTGCGTCTGTAACGCGCTGCCGCAGGGTCTTTTCGCTGAAAGCATGTGGCTCTGGCTGCGCAATTAGCAAAGAAGAGCCTTGAGCCAAAATGTAGATTGTGTGAAGGCCAGCCGTGTCACAAGCAAACACAAAACAAGCACACATTTCTTTTGGCCTTCAACGTTGAACTCTTGTCCCGTAGCCATATTTCATTTGTGCTCAACTTCTGATAACACGGACTTGTTGTTACCAATGTGAACACAGCTGTGATGCAAATGGTCTTGTAGCTGTTGTCTTGAGTGAAGGCCATGATGATTCTTGGCTTCTCCGTGTCAGAATGTTCAGAAGTGCGTGATGCAGATGGTAGTTCTTAAACTAACCGGATTTGAAAGTAACAATTCGGCCTACGCGGAAGCGCCGGATCCAAGAGTCCTCAGACTCCGCACGGCCCTCGTGTCATTGACTGATCAGCACACATCCATTTATCGACCGAAGTCCAAACCTAGGCCCCCGTGCCGCACGTAGCTTCCAATACACGGAATGCTACTTCTCCGCGAAGCTCTTCATCCTCCGCATTGTCAATCCGCCGTATGCTTCTCAGGCCTGATCTACGTATCTTTTCGGCATCTTTTGCATAGACCTTGCAGAGCATTCGGTCTGCATGAAGCATCTTCTTCCATTCTTCTAGAACAAAGTTTGTCGGCCAGGAGGCTTCATATGGCTTCCCTTGCGCTCTTCTACCTTCCCCTTTGCCCCTTTGTGCAAAGGTGCTCTGTTTTTTGGAGGTTTCCTCTTGTAGCCGGAAGGAGGTCGATGAAGTGTTGTTGATATCTCTGACCGTGTCATCGATTCCAGATCTTTCGCGAACTTCCTTTAGTCGGCCTTTTGTGATTCCACCCCCTTTCCCGCCCGCGCTAGGGTCGTCATCACATCCGCCTCCATCCTCTTCATTACCTGCAGAAACGTCCTGTAATGCTTCGCCGGGTTCCTTTTCTCAAGGTGCATCAAGGAGCCCGTCATGGGCGCTCTTGAGTGGAGATGCCCATGGCGAAACCATCATCGCCTTGTCCACTATGTGAGGTCTTCTCAAGCTCAGAGGCACAGGTAGACAATCTATGGCGAATTCCGCAGCGAGGAACGTGTCAGGCTCACACACAAGCATGCACGCCGCTCTCAAGTTCATACCCAGAGAACACACCTCTCATAGATCTCGGTGCGAACTTGTGTGTAGCATCCCTTGTTGGCAAGGGTCTGAAGCGAACATGCGCTCCAAAAGGAATTAGTGGTCCTTTGAAATGCTCACCATGCATCTTGTACCACACGCTCTCGTTCAAGCTTCTGCTTGATGGCGCGTTTCTTCATCTTGAAGGCCTCGTCTTCTATTATGCATGCGTCGCAGTAAGGATTCGCGAGCCTGTGGGTTATTATGTGTTCCAATCAGTCTGCTTCAGTCTTCAAAGCGCCCGTGTTCCTTTTTACACTTCTCCCAGCCCCGATGTCTATCTCTACTTCCTCTTCGCTCTTCGTCACTCTCAGCACGCACATCATCCTCGGGCTCCTTTCTGGGAACAGCCTTTTCAGCTCCCTCCAAAGCTTCAATGAATCCATCTGCAGCTCAACAGGAGAATTTACCAAACGGACCATGATCGTAATCATCGCTCGTCACCAGTATGGGATGTTGTCCGCCACTCGAAGCCGTATGACTCTTCCACAATCATCAAATATTGCAGGTTCTTCTCCAGACATCCATACAAAACCATACCCTTGCTCTGCACACCTCTTACCGATCGACAAAACTGATCGGGATTGCTCCATGACGCAAGGCGACATAGCGTCATGAATTTCGTCGACAACCAAATCTGCTTTCTCATTCATCTTGGTTATGCAGTTCGCCGTCATGAAGGTCATAGCATCCGCGCTCAATCTGGGACTCAGACCCAGTTCTCCGTCCGCGCCGAGATCCGGCCGAGCCGATATCTAGAACGCCGATGCCCAGCCGCGCCGAATCTCCGGCTGCGCCGACTCCAGCTGCACCGACATCCTTCTCCTGCACAAAAAGGGGATATCGGTGCGTGCGCCGATGTCCGGCCGTCCGGCCGCGCGCCGAGGAGAGGGGGGTGCCTCCGGCCGCAAATATCCTTTTCCTCGGGGGACGGGGCGGCGATATCCGTGCGTGCGCCGATGTCCAGCCGCGCCAATATCCTGAGAAGATCGGCACTAGTGAGAAATGAAAGTTTGCAACGCCGGCACAAGGTGATTGGGTGCAGCCGTGTTGCTTTTGGCGATTGTTCTGCCTGCCCCTTGCTTGTACGCATATTGGACAACAACTCCTGTGGAAGGCTCCAGAGTCTCTTGCGGCGTTGTTGCTTGGCGCTTGTGCGACTTTTGCTTTTATGCCTTGCTGCAATTCCTCGTCTTCTGTGGAAACTCTTGATGTTCCTAATGTTTGCGCAGCCTGTCCAAGGATTGTCTGACGCTCTGCTTGTGTCTTCTGCCAATCTTGCGTTGCGCTCTTTTGTGTTGATTGCACCTTTGTTTGTCCCCAAAACGCAAGCCACCTGATATCTGGCCCGTCGCGCGCGTCTCTCTGCTGTGTCAAACGCTGCGCGCGGCTCAATGCGCTCTCTTCCAGTATCGGGCTTTGCTAGTGCCAGGAACCGCTTACGATGTGCTTCTGAAGGATGCGAAACTTCATGTCCAGCTGCCTTGGGTGGTGTGCGGGGGTTGACTTTTTGGCCGCGTCTTTGTTGTTGTTGCTAGTGCCCCAGGCAGTGGCAGTGCCATGCCTTTCTTGGCCCTGAAACCCGCTTCTCCTTTCCACATCTGTTGCTGTGGTTTGCGCTGGGTTGTCCACTGTTTGGCACTTGTCATCAAACGTGGTCGCTGCACCATCCATGAGTCTGATGGTTGCTCTCCTGTAGCCATGCAAAGAGCGCGCTGCGTGTCTGTAGCTTCGTTCCTTTTGGTAGTACTGCGATCTCAACGGTGTATCTCTGTTCTCCGGTGTGCTGTTTCCTTGCTGCGCTGCAATCCTGGGTTGTAACCCAATGTAAGTTGGGACCCTTGTTCCAGCAGGTCTGCAACTGTGAAAGGATGCGCTTGTTTCACAAACGTAGAAAGGTGTGACAATCTGTTGTCAACGGCGGCTTGTCACGCAAACTTATCTGTACTGGTCACGGTTCTCAGTCGCGCTCCGGCCCCACGCTGAAGTCCCTGTAGTGGGAATTGTGTTGCAAGCCGCGTTGGGCAAACATGTCTAGGCGTGCTGCTGTCTATCAAAAGACTGGCCATTTGTTGTCTTCTGTGTGTCGCTGCGCTGCGCCAATCGCGGCAACTGTGCGGGCGCCGCTGATGAATCTGCTAGCGCTAGCAGTTGTAGCTGTGTCTGCTTCTGATGATGCCAATTGCTGTCACAGTGCGCATGGTTGCGCCTGCTCACCTGATGCGTATGAACTTGAAACTGACGTGCATCAGCACGACCAATTGTTTTTCTGCTGTCGGGCAATGTGTAGATCAGTGCCATGCTTTACAAAACAGCATCAAGAGGGGTGTGCCACCCACTGTGCAGTCAACTTTCTTGTAGCAGGGCCACACCTATATAAACAAACCTGCATATCCAGACAAAGTTGGAACGGTGATATATGAAAAACAAACATCCATGGACTGCGAACGCTTTGCTTACTCGACCCATCCCGAACTCCAAAGCCGAGCCTTGCGGTAGTAGGCAGCAGCCACCTCGGCATTCGGCGCGCCTCCCTCGGCCCACCTCAAGCACTAGCCTCGCAGCTTAATCTTGTGTTTGTCCACTCTATCCCACTCTCCGCTCTGCTGTGTCTCTAGATCGTCCCCGGCATCTTCAGGCAATTCACCCCCTCTCTCTCCCTCTCCCTCTTCTGTCTCCCTCTCCCTCTCCCTGAAAGAATAATACACATATGTTGGGCGCAGTAGTTGGACCCATCATTTAAATACATAATCCTACTGCGTATCCAAAAGATTATCAGGTTAAACAATGTGTGACACCAATTTATACATTCTCGGCAAATTTGTCAATACATATTCATTAAAACATTGTAAGGTTCATGAACTATATTATCGATTGGCCATGGAAAGTTTTGTGAAATATGTATTGCTAGAAAATAATGTTTTGTCTTCCTCTGCCTGCTTCATTTCTAAGCATTCACAGGCTTTTCCACTGTCAAACAACATGTGTAAGAAACAAGAGCATTCACAGGCTTTGCCACCGTCAAACAACATGTGTAAGAAACAAGAGCATTCACAGGCTTCTCCACTGTAAAACAACATGTGTCGGAAACAAGAGCATTCGCAGGCTTTTCCACTGTCAAACATGTGTAACAAACAAGGGCATGCACAGGCTTTGCCACTGTCAAACAACATGTGTAAGCAACAAGAGCATTCACAGGCTTTGCCACTGTCAAACAACATGTGTAAGAAACAAGAGCATTCACAGGCTTCTCCACTGTCAAACAACATGTGTAAGAAACAGGAGCATTCACAGGCTTCTCCACTGTCAAACAACATGTGGAAGAAGCAAAAGCATTCACAGGCTTTGCCACTGTCAAACAACATGTGTAAGAAACAGGAGCATTCACAGGCTTCTCCACTGTCAAACAACATGTGTAAGAAACAAGGGCATTCACATGCTTTTCCACTGTCAAACAACATGTGTAAGAAACAAGAGCATTCACAGGCTTTTCCACTGTCAAACAACATGTGTAAGAAACAGGAGCATTCACAGGCTTCTCCACTGTCAAACAACATGTGTAAGAAACAAGGGCATTCACATGCTTTTCCACTGTCAAACAACATGTGTAAGAAACAAGAGCATTCACAGGCTTTTCCACTGTCAAACAACATGTGTAAGAAACAGGAGCATTCACAGGCTTCTCCACTGTCAAACAACATGTGTAAGAAACAAGAGCATTCACAGGCTTTTCCACTGTCAAACAACATGTGTAAGAAAAAAGAGCATTCACAGGCTTTGCCACTGTCAAAGAAACAAGAGCATTCACAGGCTTTTCCACTGTCAAACAACATGTGTAAGAAACAAGAGCATTCACAGGCTTCTCCACTGTCAAACAACATGTGTAAGAAACAAGAGCATTCACAGGCTTCTCCACTGTCAAACAACATGTGTAAGAAACAAGAGCATTCACAGGCTTTTCCACTGTCAAGCAACATGTGTAAGAAACAAGAGCATTCACAGGCTTCTCCACTGTCAAACAACATGTGTAAGAAACAAGAGCGTTCACAGGCTTTGCCACTGTCAAACAACATGTGTAAGAAACAAGAGCATTCACGGGCTTTGCCACTGTCAAACAACATGCGAAAGAAACACGAGCAATCACAGGCTTTGCCACTGTCAAACAACATGTGTAAGAAACAAAAGCATTTACAGGCTTTCGCGCTGTCAAACAACATGTGTGAGAAACAAGAGCATTCACAGGCTCTTGCACTGTCAAACACCATGTGCGAGAAAGAAGAGCATTCGCAGGCTTTGCCACTGCCAAATAACATGTGTAAGAAACAAGAGCATTCACAGGCTTTTCCACCGTCGAACAACATGTGTAAGAAACAAGAGCAATCACAGGCTTTGCCACTGTCAAACAACATGTGCAAGAAACAAGAGCATTCACAGGCTTTGCCACCGTCAAACAACATGTGTGAGAAACAAGAGCTTTCACAGGCTTTTCCACTGTCAAACAACATGTGTAAGAAACAAGAGCATTCACAGGCTTTGCCACCGTCAAACAACATGTGTAAGAAACAAGAGATTCACAGGCTTTGCCACCACTGTCAAACAACATGTGTAAGAAACAAAAGCATTCACAGGCTTTGCCACTGTCAAACAACATGTCAGAAACAAGAGCATTCACAGGCTCTTACACTGTCAAGCAACATGTGGAAGAAACAAGAGCATTCACAGTGCCAGGAGGCGGATCAACCACGCAGTCACTTGACAGGGCAGTTGAGGTTCGACTCCCGTGGCGTGACCAATGCCCTCGACAGTAAGTCGTATAGTAGTGGTCGTGGTCCAAGGGGGCTGTAATGTAAGTGATCTGCTTTGTCTCACGACTCGATGCGACCGCGGAATACAAACCCTTTTGCTTTGCTTCACAGCTGTGTTTGGATGTTTGCCTCGATTCTATTATCAAGGTCTTGGGCCAGATGCATTCGCATGTACATGTCGGCCGCACTCAAAACACATTCCTCCGAAAGGTTTAGGACCTTAAACGAGGGGAAGAAACAGGGTGACCCTCAGAACCTGCCCTTAGGATGTTTTCGCCTTGCGGCTCGGAGATTCTTAGCACCCCCCATCCCGGGCTTGGGTTCATCCCTGGGTCGGGAACCAGTCACAAACGCATGCCGACACGCATGAACGCACGGCTTCTCTTTTACTCAATTCAATGAAACGTCTCTGCACGAGTTTGGCCAGGTTCTGTGAACTGAACATGAAATAAGAATGCTACACGTCTCTTACCAGACCTCATAAGCTATCTATAAGGTACTTGTACAGATCCATAGCAGTCTGCAGAAAAGGAATATCCATGACTAGCATAGTCCATCACCAATTTGTAACCAGTAATAGTTGTAGCATCGAATAATCATTGACCACCAAATACCTGGCATCTCCAGAATAGTAGTCGCCGATGACTATACTGTACGAAAACCAGAAAACTTTCTGTGGTGACAAACGCAAGTCTCATGCAAATACTTTTGGGTTGCCCATGGTACCGTGCACGACGGGTACCACCATGGGCTGGCCATGATATCATTCACGATGAGTATCACGACCTTGTCTTGCAATTAACTGCAAATTCCAGATGGTCCGCCATGTAGAAGAAATCGTAAGGAACATGCTTAATCACCAGTGTGATGCTTCTGCGATGGCCTTTCTACTCGCCCTCCACCGGAACCTTTCTAACAGAGATTGCGGTGTCTCCTCGGTCCGATTGATCTTCCCGATGAAACGCGAGGGCGGATGTATGTTGCGAGAATAGCACCATTGGGTAAGAGGAGTATCGACCTCTTTGACGCCTTGAATGCAGATAATTGCACCAAGCTCAAGTCTCAAAAGCTTTCGTCCAATGTTCACATCTGTTCGGTAGAAGGTCATGTAATCGCAGTTGAGGCCAAGGGCGATGCAACGGAAGATTGTGTCGCTGATCAAGGAAATGTCCTTCTGATGGCTGACACCTCTGAACTGATCTGCTTTAATACCAAGTATGTTGCAGGCTGTCCATATCCGGTACATGAGGTAGAGCCCTCTGAGCTTCTTGAACCAAAAGAACATTTCTTCGTCCCTGTGGTTCGTGCTCTTGAACCTCACATTCTTGAATTTAGGAGCGGCAGTGACCTCTTCGTAGGTCGGCGGGATTGGAATGTCGTTTCGTCGACATCTTTGAAAATCCAATCGTCCCTCCCGTTGAACGACATGTAGGGACAATATAGTCCGTCGACCTTTCAATAAGGAAGGCGAAAATTCCACCTCGACTACACCAACCGCATCAGACCGAGAGAATTGTTCTGAAGATACCAATTCTTTTCCCATTCAAGAGAAATACAAGATGAGGAATGAGACTCTTGAAGGTGTTGAGGAAATCAGTGGGGAAGATGATAGAGGCGTTCACTTTCAGCAGCCGGCTGAGGATGAGGACCCCGATCCTACTCTCTTGCAAGATATAGATCGAGACTACTCGAGGAGATCGCTGGCATCGTGCATGACGAGAAAGGTGAGGACGTCGAAGTCGTCGAGCCGGGGAGCAAGGAAGACAAAGATAAGACACTGTTGAGGACGTCACCGATCTACCCCATGTGTCAACAGGGAAGGCCAAAGATGGTATTATCTACAGGAATGATCTTGGAAAGACAGTCAAGCTTGATGCTCGTGGCAGACCATATCCAGTCGGTGAAGATGGATTCAGGACGATGAAGGCGACAAGACCGGCAGGATTTACGGCTGAAGAATGGGCAATATTGCGGAACGCAATTGATGTTGATGAAGAAGGAAAGATACAACCAAAGAAGAAGGATGGCACTGGTAGCTCAAAGGACGCCGCACCTGCAGAAAGTACAAAGGTCAACGCTCCGAGCGCTAAGAGAATCAAAGCAATGCTCAAGGAAAGATGGGGTGGTGATCAATGGTTGTACAACTGGGGCATACGGAAGAACTCAAATAAGGTCAAGAATCCTGTCGAGGGAAAGTTCCTGGCAAACCTGGATTGGACAAGGATCATTGTCAATCCGGTCGATCAGATGGGCTGGCTTTTTGGGTTGCCTTGACGGATGGGATGTGCAAATGGCTGATGCGGTACAGGCGTATATCCAGGCCACATTGCGGGGTACACCTTGTTCGAGCTTCCGGCTGAAGCAGTTCCTGAGGATGATAAAGAACGATGGAATCAGTTCAAAAGACCCGTGGTTCGCTTGGTGAAGGCTTTGTACGGTCATCCTGATGCTGGTACATTTTGGGAACAGCACTGCGCCGAATCGGTGCGTTCAATGGGTTTTCAGCCAGTTGGTGAAGAATGGGCTTCTGTCTATACCCATCCTGAACTACAATTAGTTCTTGTGGTCTATGTGGACGACTTTAAGATGGCTGGTCCAAAGCACAACCTCAAAAAGGGTTGGGAACTGCTTCGCGAGAAGCTGATCATTGATCCGGAAACCGGCCTGGATTTATATCTGGGATGCAATCAGTCCAAAGGTACTGTGGT